TAGGAAATAAAGCGTAGCGCCAAGGGGGGGAGGAAGTACAGTGAGCTAAGCGTCAGTGCTGGCAGTGCGGAAGCTAGTCTCAAGCCCGATCTGGTGAGTGGCAAGGTCAACGACTGTGGGGAAGGATGCAAGATCAGGAAAGAGCAGGGGTAGGAGGAGGCGACCAGCAGAGGCGGAGGCAGGAGTGAAATAGCAAGAAATGACTGCATCTAAGTACTCCTTGGCCGTCTCTAGGGTCTAAAAGTGGGGATGCTCGGACTGTAGGAGAGCGTAACTAATAACGAGCTGCACAGTGGCATCACGTGACTCCCAGACAGAGCGAGCGAGCATAGTAGTGGCAAAAGCCTCACGCTCAGCAGGCGTGGGGGCGTCAGGTAGGGCAGCTGACACAGAGGGGCAGGGAGGCTTACCGTCAACATGGACGGCCAGAGACTGGCCATCCTGGCGCTGACCCTTCAGCTGGTGGCGGAGGTCGGTGAGCCACGCCTCAAAATCGACAGCGCTACCCTCCGCGTCCAGGCGGAGAACAGCGTCCACCATCACGCACATCTACATCCGTTGGAGAGCTCAGACAGAGGAGGAGCAGAGAGCAGGCGGGTGTGATGGAGTATGGTGAAGTGCAGTGAGGTGCAATGGGGTGCGGTAGAGTGCGGTGAAGCCGCGAAAGAGGAGACAGCCGGCGAGAGTGCCGGCGCAGCGGAGAAACCAGGGCCGTTGGCGCGTCGAGGCCGGCGGCAAGCTAGGGCGGCGCGGAGAGCTGGGGGCCGCGCAGTAATCTGGGGCCGGCGGTAAGTTGGGGTCGCGGCGAGTTGGGGCCGCGGCGAGCTGGGGGGCCGCGCGGCGAGCTGGGGCCGGCGGCGAGCAGGGGGCCACGGTGAGCTCGGGGACGCATGGTGAACTAGGGGCCAGCGCGGCAGGCTAGGACCAGCGCGGCGGGCTAGGGACCAGCACGTCGGTCGAAGGGACAGCGCGGCAGGCTAGGGGCCAGCACGGCGGGATAGGGCCAGCGCAACGCGAAGGGCGAGGGCAGGCACGGCAGGCTAGGGCGGGCGCGAGGCGTTAAGCTGGGGCAGAAGCGCGGTTGGGTGGGACCTACCTAGCGTGATACCATGTTTGAATGACAAAGTGGATACTAGCAAGGGAATACAAGATGATATATGTGTTTGGGTTGTAATCTCTAAGAGCACGAATCAGTCTAGCCTAAAACTAGACATGCATACAGTAACAACTGTATAAGTTGACACGTATCCCTGTTAAGTGCATCTTAGTTAGACCCTTCGCATTCTCTTGTATCATTGTATAAACCTTGTATTCCTTTACTATAATTAACATTGTTATGCTACATTCAATCTGATAGGGTTCATCGACCAATCAACCGCTTTCGTAGAGCGCACCATTACAGTTCAATCCTGAACATCCTACGTACCATATTGGATCACTTCACGAATTTAACCTGAACTTCAAAGGGTGTCAATTTTATTTATTTATTTTTTAGGTACACTGATTACCAAGGGTGCCCCTGAACCAATTTTGGGCCCTGTTTGGGACCAGCAAGGTCAAAGGGTGCAGAGGCGGCAGAACCAAGTATCGGAAACCAAAAACGGTGGACGAGGATGTCTATTATGAATGCGTATGGCAAGTCGCAGGCCGTAGACTGGGTGCCGAAGGAGCAACTGGGTCCCAGGAGGGAAGGTACCAGTAAAGCCCTGAGGGCAGCGCAGGTAAACCTGCTCGTGTAGGCTGCCCTAAAGAAACGCAGTGGAGAAGTCGATGGAGTGTAACTCGCAGTCACACTGTGCTGCTACGTGTAACAGCGCCCAAAGAGTAGTCATTTTCAGGGTCGGTGCGAAGGTCTGAAAGAAGTCCACCCCCTCACGCTGACTGGAGCCTCTAGCCACGTAGCGCGCCTTGAACACAGATGGCTCTCCAGGGGGGCGCTTCACCTTGAAGAGCCACCGGCCATCGACTACGTTCACCCCATGTGGTAAAACCGCGTCGACGTATATGAGAGTACGACCCCGTTACACCACTTGGCCTTTTTTCTACTTCCTTCCTATTTTCATTTCTCTTTTTATCTCATCTCATTTGGTTTCCTATTCTCCCTTTTCCATTAACCTTTGGTTTCTCCTGCTATTATAGTTATATCACCGACCAGGCTTGGGATGTACTGGGCGCTATATCTAGCGTAATCCTGCCGTAATCCCTTAAAGCCAATAGCCTCGTGTGGCTATACGCAGGGTGATTCTATCGTCTAGAAGGGTCTATTCCCTTAGGATAAGATAAACCTGGTTACCTGATGTACTCTGGAAGTATCAAAGCGCCTTGTACTGATCGAGGGTGCAATCTTTCCTCGACATATTCGATCCTGTAACACTTGGTAATCAGAGCTTTTCTCACTCGGCCACGCTCAACAAAGCAACAGCAGCGGGAAAACCTGCCTCGAAAAACTGCCGGGGGCGACCAATTCGACGCCGATTCTGGTAAGCACCAGCTCCGCGTTATTTCGAATCACCCCCCCCCCCCCCCCCCCCACCCCCCCGCGCGTGTTTTGAAGAGGATGGCAACCTTCGACAACGCCGAGGTTACCCAGCAGCTCTTCACGCGCATCGCAGCCCTCCAGGAGGAGATGCGAGCGGATCGCAAAGCGTGGCGAAACGAATTCGAGCGAGTAACTCGACTCGCCGGAGCGCAGCACGACTCGACAACGGCAACGACGCAGTAGTCACAGCAGTTTCTCGAGGCTCCGAAACCGCGCCCACCTGAGCCGTTCGTTCCGAGCGATCGAAACTCCGACGCCCGCAGATGGATCGCCGGAATGGAGATCTACTTCGCAGCCGTCGGATGGAGCTCGCCAGTCTGGGACGGTCAACGTGTACGACTCGCGGCGACACTGATGCGAGGGCCGGCACTCGAGTGGATTGGCGGCAACAGTACCTTCATCCACGGTGAAGCCACGTGGCAGCAGTTTCGCGCCGACCTGCTGAAACGTTTCGTGCCGATAAATTCGAGTTTCCTTGCCCGGGAAAAAAATCATCGACACCGACAGTTCGGGAGTGTAGCGCAGTACACGCAGCAGATGGAGGAATTCTATAACCGCATTCCGGACCTGACCGAAGGGGAAAAAGTACAATCGTACCTCGCCGGGCTGAAGACCGAAGTGAAACGACAAGTGGCAGCGTCAAACTACGCGAGCTACAGTGACGTCGTTTCGGCAGCGGAGCGCTTCGACATGGTTATCGCCGGAACACGACGGACGCACGTCGGCAGTACGCGACAGGGCGACCGCTCGGCTCACCCCGCGTTCGCCGACCCGATGGAAGTCAACAGGTTCGAGGGGCGGCCACGTCCGAAAAACACCAACTACACGTGTGATTTTTGCGATGTGCCGGGTCATCGAATCTTCGACTGCAACAAAATGAAAACCGCACGCGCTGAGTATCGGGCATGCAACAGTGGCGGAACTCCTTCGGCCAATCAGAAGACTAAAAACGGGAGTCGCCAGTGATTGCGGATCTAGCTCGCAAAAATAAAAAGATCCGGAAGCGGCCGCGGGATTCCGGGAAAATCAACTTCGACGAAGCTGATTCGACGCGAGAAGGAGGAAATGATGGGGGAAAATCTCCACCCCACGACCAGTCTTCGCCACGGAAAATCGCCGAGGAAAAATACGACTCCGCGAAAAAAGACTCTGCCGAGACGGGGAAACTCCTTGAAGACCCAAGAAATGATAAGGATTCATTAAAGTTATCTTATAAAGATGCTTTAATGAAAACTTATGATTTTCGAGGAGCTGGAGCCTTGGAGAAAATTCGGGAGGGACTCCAAAAGAAGCAGACAGCTGTGGAGATTATATCGGTACCAGAGAACTTCGGGAAAAAATTAAAGAGTGTGGAAAGAAGCCGACCTTTCCACGGAGTCAACGTCCTCTCCTGACGCCAGCCCACAACGATTACCGGTTCCCCAGGGAAGACGTCGGTGGAGCTGAAGCAGCTCAAGAGGAAGCTGGGGGTCTATAAGAAGCTGCACAAATCCCGAACTCCTCCTCCGGATGCATCCAGTTCTACGGCATCAGTGACGCGCACAGTCGTCAAGGAAACTCCGGGCCCTGGAGAAGAATCATCCTCCAAGCAGCCTCGGCCAGCTGCCAGCTCAGGAGTAGATAGCAACACAAATGTGTGTACGGAATATTGGGATGTACCCTATGACCCAATCGATGAAACCATTTTTTGGTACTCCGAGCAACGCCTCTCTCTCGTGCTCGAGGTCATCTGTAAAGAACGACGCCTCCAAGCACTCGTGGACAGCGAAGCATCACACACCGTCTGCGACAAGGCAGTAATCGACCGACTTCGGGAAGAGTACAAGCCTTCAGGATTCTCTGCAACGATGGTGGACGGCAGCAAGTTACCAGTACACGGCGAAGCAGTGCTACACCTACAAATTGGACCACTGCGCTGGAGACCTGCACTCCCCATCACCAACATCAAAGGGCTTGATTTGATCTTCGGGCGAGACTTCCTAAAAAGATTCAACCCCGAGATCAACTGGGTGAACCGCACCGCAAGCATCTACAACAATGGACGGAGAGTACAACTACCCAACTGGGACGATACAGGAGATATCCCAGTGGAGACACTCGCACGATTCGAGAAAGACGTGAAGCGAACCGACACAGGGTTCCTGGCAATAGCAACAGAGGCGGAGAACGACAGGGAGAGAACCTCGGAACCTCCAGGAAAGATCAAGGAATTATTGCAGAAGTTCCAAGATATTCTTCCGGACGATCTTCCGAACGAGCTACCGCCATACCGAACGCATCAACACGAGATCGTAGAGGAACCGGGTTCGAAGCCGACCTTCCGAGCACCATATCGGCTGAGCCCTACGGAGCTAACCGACATGAAAAAACAGATCGAGTATCTCCTAGCCAAAGGACTCATCCGACCATCCACTTCGCCGTACGGTGCCCCAGTACTCTTCACACCGAAACCGGACGGAAGCCTGCGCATGTGCATCGACTACCGAGCTCTTGACAAGCAGACCATCAAGAATAAATATCCGATACCGCGAATCGATGACCTGCTTGACCAGCTTCGGGGAGCTACGGTATTTTCCAAACTGGATCTGCGGTCCGGATACTGGCAGATACGTATGGCGGACAACTCTATCCACAAAACTGCTTTCCGAACTCGGTATGGATCGTACGAGTATTTGGTAATGCTATTCGGACTCACCAACGCACCGGCAACATTCCAAGCCGAAATGAACCACATTCTACGACCACTTTTGGACGAGTGCGTAGTAGTGTACCTGGACAACATACTCATCTACTCGCGCGACATGAAGCAACACGTCAAAATCCTGCGACGCGTCTTCGAAATTCTTCGACGAGAACGGTTCTACGTCAAACTGTCCAAGAGCGAATTCGCCCTTGAGAAGGTCCAGTTCCTAGGGCACATGGTGAGCGCTCAAGGAGTTCACAACGACCCCAAGAAAATCGAAGCCGTACGTACGTGGAAGACACCCGAGAATGTGAAGGAGTTACAGCAGTTCCTAGGCTTCGCTAATTACTACAACAGGTTCGTGCCACAGTATCCCAAAATCGCAGCACCACTCACGAATCTGCTGAAGAAGACCGTGCCCTACAAATGGGAGCTGAAGCACCAGACAGCCGTGGAGCAGGTAAAGCAAGCACTCACGTCCGCACCAGTACTCATCTTGCCAGATCCCGAACGCGACTACGTCATCAAAGCTGACGCCAGCGACCCGGCGGTGGGAGCAGTCTTGATGCAAGACCAGGGGAATGGACTGCAACCAATCGCCTACCTCAGCAAGAAACTGCACGGGGCAGAACTAAACTACCCGATACACGACAAAGTGGCCCTTGCCATCGTCATCGCCTTCAAAGCGTGGAGATGTTATCTCAAAGGACGAAGAACAACCGTCTACACCGACCACTGCAGCCTGAAATATTTGAAGACACAACCCAACCTTTCCCGGCGGTAGGTCCGGTGGATCGACTTCCTCGAGACACACTTCCACTACGACATCGTGTACAAGCCCGC